GAATGCGTTTCTTCATCAAGTTCAATCTCGAACATGATGTGACTCTTTCACTGAGTATCTAAACAAATAAGCACGTTACAGGAATGGATGGTGTTTTTCTTTCCGTTTCATTTTTTTCATGATAAGACAATGCATGAGTCAACAATAACAACAGCTAATCTTATCTAAAAGAATGGTTAACGTTTAGAAAATGGATATCCTATGAAAACAAGGAGAATGATTTCCATTGTTACTATATCTCCCGTAACGTGGCCTGCCGGGGACGTCTTCGAACGTCACAGGGTCCCATCTCTGCTTGCAAAGTGTGGGAGGCATCCCTGGGCTGCCGGTAGCCATCCAATCTTGCTTCTAGGTTAGCCACCTATTAGTGGGACATTAAACCCAACTGGCTAACGAACAAGATCAAAAACAGTGCATAAACGCACTTAAAACAACGTTTTTCGGTGGATGGAATGTAAGATCGTGTTTTCATCAAGCAAAAAAGGAACTAATTATCAAGCAACTGAAGAAACATCGAATTCAAGTAGCAGCTTTATGTGAAACAGCAATGTACGACTCTGGAACAACAACTATCGGCGAATATACATTTATCTACTCTGGCCACTCAAGTGCAGACAAGACTCGTTCAGCTCATGGAGTAGCCATATTTCTTAACAAGCAAGCAACAACAGCATGGAAAACCCTCGGTTCAACTTGGGAAGCCGTTAATGAACGTATTGTCATGGTTCGTCTCGCATGCAAACCAATAAATGTTACCGTCATAGCTATCTATGCACCTATCAACCCAAAAAATCAGCAGCAAGCCAGTTCAACAACAGATCCTTTTTATGCAGATCTACAAGCTACAATCAAGAAAGTGCCAAAATCTGACATGCTCCTCATTATTGGTGATTTCAACGCTCGTGTTGGTCAGAACAACATCGTACAAGTAGCAATGTCGTTGGTCCTCATGCAGTGGATACCATAAATGACAACGGCGAACGTCTCGTTGATTTTTGCTCTATAAACAATCTTATTATCTGTAACACGTTTTTTCAACACAAACCTGCTCATCAAAAAAGCTGGATGCATCCTGGAAGTAAAACGTGGCATATGTTGGACTATACCCTGGTCAACAAGCAATTTCGTTCAAGCGTCGAAGATGTTCGTGTTCATCGCACAGCAGCCGGAGCAATCGGAACTGATCATCACCTTCTTCGAATCAAACTCAAGTTCCATCTGAAGAGTCGAAGAAAAGTAGTCAACATTCAACCATTACGTGTAGATCGGAAAAAACTTAAAAATGAACAATTGAAAAGGGCATTTCAAGTACAATTAAACAGACGACTTCAACAACCAACATCTTCTCCTCAAACCATCGATGAAAAATATACCGATTTTGTGGATTACGTACGCCAAACAAGCGGTTCAATCTTTCAACGAGATGGAAATGACAGGAAACAAAGAATGGTTAACAGATGAAATCCTCGATGTTGTTGACAAGAAAGCAAAAGCATTCCTAGATTGGCAAAATTTTCGTGGCAATTGTCTCGAATCAAGATTTCGCAAGAGCTATTGTCTCCTTCGAAATTTGGCCAAAAAGAAAATCGAAGCACAGCAAGTGGAATATTGGGATGAACTCAGTATTGAAATTGAAAATGCCATCAAGCAACATGATCCAGCAACTGCATATGCAATGATTAGACGTCTGAGAGGTGGACGTGCAAAAATCGAAAACCTTCCAATCTTCGACAAGCAAGGATGTCTCCTAACAAACTCAAATGAAAGACTCAATCGTTGGAAAGACTATTTCAATGATCTCTTAAATGTACCATCCATCGTCGATCAAGCGGGATTCCGGATCTTCGCCAATAAAACTTTCGCCAAATAGCACTTTCGCCAATGGCGAAACTCCACTATACTTTCGCCAATAGACACACTGGAATATCGCCAATTGGCGAATGTCCACTGTACTTTCGCCAACACACTTCATGGAGTTTCGCCAGTTGGCGAAAGTATAGGAGACTTTCGTCAATTTAATTGCTAATTAGACGTGAATTAAAAAATGTGCATCGACTATATTAATAAGCGTAAGCTATAGTATATATTCTAACAGTATTAGCTTTAGCCCTTACATGTATCATGTATTAATATTATTTTGTGACGGCTGACAAAACTCCACTATACTTTCGTCAATTGGCGAACGTCCGCTGCACTTTCGCCAATACATACCTTGGAATTTCGTCAATTGGCGAAAGTTCACCGTACCTTCGCCAACACATCCCTGTACTTTCGCCATTGGCGAATGTCCTATTGGCGAAAGTCCGAATTGGCGATCTTCCGGTAACCCGATCAAGCAACAATTCAACAAATTCCTTCCGCAACAATTACTGTAAGTGAGCAAGAACGTCAAGACCAAACCCCTACACTTAATGAAGTGCAGTGTGCAATCAAGCAAATGAAAAATGGCAAAGCTCCTGGAAGTGATGAAATTTCTATCGATGTTATCAAGGCTGGTGGTCTTCCATTAGCAAAATGGTTACACGA